GATCACAATCATTAAATTATTTTTCTTCTTTATTTGCTGTTTGCATTTTGATTTTACTTTGCTGAATGCACATGCAACTAGTGGATTTAATTCTGTGCCAGAAGTGATATGTCAAAAACATTTAGGAAAACTTACTGTTTTGTTTACTGAAGTCAGATATGAGTGGCATGCAGTAGATTGCAAGGAAAAGCAAAAGGACATACATTTCCAAATGATTTATAATCTCCATGCACGTGTAAAATGTGTCTTACAAAAATCATTAACATTTGTTAAAAGTGTGCCTTTTTGCCTCTTTTTATACAAGTGTACATGCAATTACCTGTCCGAGCTAAAACTATTTACAAAATTTCATAATACAATACATCTTTGAAAGTGAATAATACATGAAAGGCCAATGTTTTCTGTTGTTTTGTAACACTGTACAAGATTAAAAATAAATAAGGCATTATAATACAGGTTTATCACAAATTAAAAAATGTTAGTTTTCACTGTAATACAAAACTCTAACTCGAAAGAACATTATGGCTAAATAGTCCTCCTGCCTGGACAACACATACAGAATCTGGACTTGCTGATGTAAAGAAAACACTTTGTTTCTGTTACAAGCAGGAATTCAACACATAAAAATGATTCACTCTACTTACTAATGTGTTCAGACTCCTCAAACCACTGAAATGGCACAGGTCATACACTGTTTCCATTTGAACAGTGACTCCCAAGTACTTTCTTTTGCCTTACAGGTAAATTACAGGCAGAAGTATGAAAGAGATTTAGGCGCACGACCTACTCTCGGTTACAATGTTGTAAAATACTCAGTTCAGTACTGACACAAGAACATTGCTGTAGCCCAAGGCAGAACTTGGCCTACAGAAGCTCAACTCCTGACCTTCATAAGCATGCTAAACTCCTGGTGATTTCTGCAGGCCTTGTGGGTACATCAGGGATGCTTATTCAGCCCTAATAAGCTGAAGCTTTTGGCTCTCAGTCTCACCTAGATAAAGCAAGAGAGAATTTGTATGTGTTTTGGTGAAGACAAGGGAGTGTGACTTGCCACAGTGGGAAGCAGCTACAAAAAACAATGCGTTTTACAGGCTTGATAAAATAGCTTGCTAGTCAATGCAAATGGAAAATGCTTGGAAATATCTAGCCAGTAATTCAACTGAATGCCATCATTCAGTTGCCAACATAATCTCAGCAGAGAATAATAATTAAAAAAAATAATTTAAAGATAAAGGTAGCATAGGAACACTTTGAAATTAGCTCCCAAGACAGTGAAGTCTGAAGATCTGTGATACTTATCTCTTTATGTAAAGAACAAAAGACTTCGATTATTATTATTACCTGAAAGAAAAAATGTGCAAACCTATGTGAAATATTGTGCTTGCTATTGACAGATATTGACATGCCAAAATGGCATCACTTTGTTATAGGGCTCGTACCTGTTAGTTGCTTCAAGCTAACAGCTGCACAAAACAGTCAACAGATGTGCAGAAGGCTATTCTGCCCACAATGCAACAAGTTACTCTCCTCAGTTAAACGTGAGGGACTTTTGGGTACTGTGGGGCAGAACTGGCTCCTTGCTGGGGTTACAACAAGGTCACCCAGGCAAAAGTTACAGAGCTTGACCAGAAAATTAATAAATGCAAGATAAGAACTGCATGCAGTAAGGTGGACACAACCCAAATCCCACAGAAATCCAAGGAAATCTTTTGATGATTTTCAGGGAGATTGGAGTGGGCCACATATTCTCTTCAGCCAAATGCCAATAAAAATTTGATTATAAGCTTCTCTAATTTGTCAGCAAATGTGCATTTGTGGGGTTACTGTAAGTATTACTACTACCTCTTTCCATGTACAAAACTTGCTGAACTTATCAAAGAATGCAGAAGAGCAGAGAGATTGAATCTGTCATTTGAAGCTATCACACATGAGCTGAAATAAACCAAATGTACACAGAAAAGGAAAATGAGTAAAAATGATATGAATAGGGAGGGAAAGCATAAAAGTAAGAGCACAGCTTCATTATATCATGGTTTCAATGGGTATTTAGTTTTCCCTTTTGGAATGGCTGCTGAACACTGCTTATCATTTTCATGGGGCTTTTTACTAAATTGTGCCTTGGCTGAACTTTCTTCATGATTCTGTAGTGCTCAGTCCAGGACTACATAGAAAAATACAGTTTTCCCCATAGTAAAACCACCAACAATAACCACAATAAAAATACAAAAAATGTTAATGGTAGGACTTAAACAAAGTCTGGAAACTGACTCCAGTTACACCATCACTGATGCTGTAAGCTAGCACACACACACTGTGTGCAGTACCGATAAGCCATCCAGGTCCACTCAGCCTGTTCCAGAGGCACAGACCTCCTGCAAAAGGGCCAAATGAGAAGTCAATGATGGACTGCACCTGTTTGGTCCTTTCCCTTCAACATGGAAAACATTCTTACAAAAATCACATGCCTCATTTGACTGTTGGAGAGGAGGACCAGGCTTAGGAAAACTTTGGAATAATTCTACTAGCACCTGCTAATCTTTTAAAATATTAAAATGAATAACCCAAATTTATCTTGTTACATGATCTTTCATTGACATTACTCCAAGACTAAGCTACGAATGAGTCTGGTAATAAGAACAGTCCTGAAAATGTTAGCACAGGAGACAATTCATTTCTGCTCACTGTCCATCTAGTGATAAAAGAAAAAATGGCAAGATGCATATATCTTGGGACCTATTAAGAAAGTAACAAAGAAATAGTTTTATTTTAAGTTTTTGGGGTAAGTCAATGGCTGTGTTTGGTCTATGTGTTCACATACTACCAGATCTACTGCTAGGATCTGAAGATGCTTTTAATAACAGTACATGTGAAATTATACCAAATTCACTGATTCAGAAATTGTGTAACTTGGGCGTTTTGTGAGTGGAACTGAGTGATCAACGCTATTGCACATAATGCTTTCAATTTTGTTTAAATATTTTACTTACCTGTGTGATGATTTAGTTCTTATAAACCTATTAGAAAATATAAATATGCAGTGTGCTTTACATGGATACCAGTTATTCAGTTTATTTTGTAAATATTTGTTCTTTTAAATCTGTATTCTCTACATGTATTTACTGAAATGGCTTTGGGTGCCTCAAAACCAGAATTAAATTGTTCTAGAAGAATACTTGTGAACTGGATGGCTTTTAGGGACATAACGAAATGCAGTGACCTTACACAGATCAGCCAGGGTGCATACACCTAGTACAGTTAGGAAATAATTCTCAGTTTTTTATTGTCACTTTAATCACAACACTAATTTTGCTAGTTTTGTAATGAAGCACTTAGCTTACAGGATACATAAAAATTAATGAAAAACCCTGCTGAAAACCACTGGAGTCCCACAGCAGCCTGATATGGCTACATGGAGAACAGAAACTCCTGTAGCATTTCTTTAACAATTTGCATCTGTTGACACAGTGTTTGTCCTTATACAGAAACAGTGACTGCTCCAAAGCAAATTGCTGACTGCAGGAGAATGACTCAGAATCTTCTTGACACCAAAATTGGTAATAAATAGTCCCACCAAAGGGAAATGTGACCATCTAGTACACACAAATTTTCTGTTGTACAATCTGGACAACTTCTGCAGTCTTGGGTGGGTTTTTTGTGTTTGGTTTTTTGGAGGGGTGGACGTGGTATTTTGTTTTTTTTTTTTTAAAGAAGATTTTTAGACAACATAAAGTTTTGCTTCTCTTTTGGAAAGCAGTGAGGCTGGTTAGTTTGTGCATCCCTATCAGGTCAGTATGGCACCTGTCCGTGGAGCACATGTCATTCAGCAGCATGACATCCAACTGCCTCCACCTCGAGTACGGAGCTGCACTCCATATTTCACATCCCGATCAGTGTTTCAAGATGTAACCATGAACAATAGGATGCGGGCTGCATTAAAGGAAAAAGCAGTCAAAATATGTTCCCTTTTATGCAGATTAAAAGCAGGCCTCACTCTCTTGGCACGTTTACCAGTGTGCTCCTCATTTGGGCAAAGTTTGACTGTGCTTGTGTTTAAGAATCATAGCTTTCTATAACTGTACAGCTTAGAAGAATGAGCCTGGGTAGAATCAAGATATAATGAAACTGTGGTATAAATTTAAAAATCAGTTAAGACATAAGACTATGTTGGCAAACATACAAATGTCACAAAGGTAGTAACAGCATGTTTGTCACCAGTACAGGCCTATTCTTCAAGCTGTTTAGAAAGATAAAGTTAAATCCTGGAACTGAGCCACAGGACCTGTGCTATTTGTAAAAGCCTGAAATAATACCATCTTTCTGCTCTTCAGTAAAATCAGCACTGTACAAAGGAATGTTTCTATATTGCATAAGCATGTTGCTGTGCTTGCAGGGTGGCTCCTCTGTCTTGCAGAGTCAAATGACCTGTGAAGAGGCAGCAACTTCTGAACTCTACCACCCTTTTTTCTTCAATGGAAAGAGTATATATTGTTCTTTTGCCAAAACTTTAAGCTCTGTGGTTTATCTACTTCATATCCTAGTGTTATGGTTTGAATTGGAATTTTTTGGAAGTTTTTGGAGCATGCAAGGAGAATTTTAAAAAATACATAGGGTTTAGCAATTAGCTGAATCCAGCCTTCATTAATCTGCCATTGACAGCAGAATGAACACAGTTCTCATTGCTTTAACTCATGCACTGGGAGCACAGTTTCTCTAACTCCTGCTGTAGCCCTGGAGAGTCTCCAGCTGCCCCACACTCCATGGTTAAATGAAGCTTTTCTAATCCCAGACCCAACAATGCTGGCTGTGACAGAAAGAGAAATCTCTTTGCTATGTCATTGCAGGTGGATGTGCAAATAAACACATATTTTTATGTTTATCTCTATAAATCTCTATAAGTCTACACAGGACTATTTGTATATGTGCATATATAGATTAAAACATATATATACACACACACACATAAATAATTGCTTGCATGTTTATCTCATGTTTTTTTCACCCTTTAAAAATGCCAAGAAAATATTCCTCATTTCCAGAAAAATCAGGTTTTGACTTTTCCTAACAGAATTTCTAGCCCTTATATGTTCCATCCCAAGAGTTTGTTACACAGTCCCCAAGTTCTCTTTGGTTGGGTTGTAGTGGTCCATGGTTAATACTATGCCCTATTGACCTCTGATCTCTTGGTAGAAATTCAGGCAACCATTGCTCTCCAAGTTCACTGCAAATGGCACAACCAAATCTCCTTTGCTCTATGCCTCCTTCACAGCTGGCACAGAAGGAAGATAATGCAGTGTTTGATTTGTGTGAGTGGCAGACGCTTGATTTGCTCCAAGCCCAGCTTTTGCAGTAAAGCTAGAAACTGAGGACACCAAGGGGCAGCTGGTGCCCAGTTTTGTTTGAATGTTTGCTCTCCCGTAAAGGTACATTTTCCGCTCTAAGTTTAAAGACTGTGTTTGTGAATTATTTCCATCGGCCTTTCCTTCCAGGAAATAGGTCAACATTTCACCTTTTCCCTTTACACTGACTTTACCCCTGCACACAAATTCATAACTGCACCTTTTTAATATCCGCTGAACTTCTTCCGTCACCTGAAGACAGAAAAAAAAGAACTTTTAGTTTCTCCTGTTCATATAAGGTTAATCCTAGAACTGCCTACCCCTCCCCATTTTACTTCTCTGTCATGAAATATGCATATGCAGAATTATTTAGCACCTACTGCTGCTCTCGGGCTCACTTAGAATTTTCTTAAGGAATTAAAAAACACTGACCAAACTGGAATCTAAGAAGCAGAACTTCTGGTCTTGAGCTGAATAATTACATAGGCAGATTAAGCTCTGTCCAACAGAAATGTGTAACCAAATCATCCACTGTTGAAAGCTGGATTAGTTCCAGTGATGTTAATTTACTCCAGAAAACTTTTGATCCCTGGAGACTAGACAGGTATTTTGGATAAAGGACTGCAAGAGTTCATTGAGATCTGGAGAGGTGCAGCATAGCTTCTAGCTAAGCTCTAGTAGAACAACCATGTTCTCTGTCTGTTGTAGCCTCTCTGATCCAAAGTATCCAAGGAATTTTTAAAGCTACACAAAGTGCAGCAGGATGCAAATGGACATGGATCCTTTCCTTGTAGTCCTTATTCAAGCAAAATTCCTACAGCACAAAGACTGGCCAATGCAGTGTTGGCATTCCCAGGCTTGCCTCCAACTGTGTGCAAAGCAGCAAAGAACTCTGTTTCTTTGATAGGAAATGATTTCTTTGAGGATTTTGTTGCCTCCAAGTAGTGAAGCGTACATAATGGAAAACAACTTTACTTCTGATGCTTGAATCATCTAGATAATATTGCCCTTTTCATAAGAACCACAAGTTCAAGTGAGGATGTATTTTCTAAGTGGTCTTGAAAATGTAACCACATATAAAACAGGAGTTATGTAAAGTTTGTGAAATTTTCTCAGAATGCACTCACCTGAATTTTCCCCTGTACACCAGTACTATCCATCCGGCTGGCAACATTTACAGTATTCCCCCAGATATCATACTGTGGTCTTCTGGCTCCAATGACTCCAGCCACTACTGGCCCAACATTAATACCTAAAATCAAAACAATGAATTTGGTTTGAAACACTGCAGCATATTATCCAAGGGAAACATGAATCCACAAAATAGACTTAACACAAGTGCCTTAGAATTTTTCTGGTCATAGGACATAACATATGGTAAATTAATGCCAGTTGGACTTCTGTATTTGTAAAAGGTTTAAACACAAAATAAAGACATACACTGAGATATCTTATTGGAAATTCAATATTACAGACAACATAAAAATTTGGCTTATCTCTGGATTTTCTTTTTTTGTTTGTTTTAAGAAAAGAAGAAAAACAGTGGTAGTGTGGACTTTAGCTGTAGAAAATTCAGGACAAATTGTTAAAGATCTGTAATTGTTTGCTACGACTTCCACTGTAGTTGCTCATATAAAGCCTTTTAATGGAGGCTTTCCAGGTGGAACAGAAACAGTGGCTTAGAAGACATGAGGAATGGGGTAAGGGAAGCATGTCACATTGGTTGTTAGTACTAGACAACTCAGATCAGGGAGATAGTGGAAGAAGACAAGAGTATGTGAAAATGGCTCAAGCATCTTTTTTTGGGAAACCACAGGGCTCGATTCTACATTTCTGACCAATTTTGACACCTTGTTTGGAAGATAAAAGAGGATGTTCCTTATTCTGAGTGCCCTGCAGGGCTGCAGATGCTAAACTCTGCATGAGGTTCTGTGCAGAGGCTTTCCCAGGAAAGTTATGCAGAAGAATGGGCGTTAGATATTTGTCTTCTGCCCCTTTGTGAACCTGGAAAGACCAATTATAACAGAGTTCAAAGAGAATTTGGGGTTTTTATAATTAATTAGGATGTACAGGAGGGCAAAGATTAATAACTCTCCTATTGCTACACTTGATGTCTTTGGTCTTTCTCAATCTTCTGCTGCTAGCAACCTCACTTTTCTCCTTTTCCAGCCCATTCTCACAATTCAGCCATGAAAATATATAGAGAAAAAAGCTGGTGAAAACTATCTATCTGTGTTAGAATATGCAATGAAATGAGAACAGCAGTGGAAGTACCACTGGGGAGGAGTGGGATGCAGGGAAGAAAGGGAAGAGGGGAACTTGCTTTCTAAGAAGTCTCGAGAAAGGACTCTGAGAGGTAAGACATGTAATAACATGTAAAGGAAGGTTTGTGTTGTGAAGACCAGAGAATTTTATTTATTGGAGAAAACAGGGCTGGTTGAGGTGATTTTGGCATCTGTGGACAACAAGCTCCCATCACACTTTTAATGCCAACAAAGCTTTTGCACATGCAACTTAACTTAAGTACAGTCAGACCCAGTTTTCAGCCGTTTAGCAATGCAAAGCAGTGTAAGCCACAAGACTGGGTACACTAATATTATTGTACATAATTATTGGTCCAGTTTCCTTTTAGGAGTGCATAGATTAAGTAAACACACTGGAATTGGACACAATAATTCTTTAATACTGATGCTCACCATCCAGCCTGCTGACCTCTACATGGATGTGACTTTCCCGCTAAAGGAGGCTTTTCAGTTTTAATCATAAGTACAGGACAGGTAAGCCTTCGCAGATAGCACAGGGAAAACCAACAAATAACAATGTTCTGCTTGTGTGATAATTGTAGAAACGTGACTTACCAACTCGTAGGACAAAGTCGTTGTAAGACTGGTAGTTAATTTCATCAAGAACATCAAACATCTCTATTGCAAAATCTGCCAGTGTACTCAGATGGGAATAAATTGATTTTTTAGTCTAGAAACAAAATAGTATTGCACATTACATTTGTATAGTACTCATACGCAGGTGAAATACTGAAGTGAAAAACAATGAAAAGCTCAGACTGGATGGCTTAGGAAAAGAATCTAACCCATTTTGCTGTTCGTGAAAATAAACTTTTGATGGTGGCTGCAGCACATGCATTCTTTTCTCAAGTACTGATTTTTTTTTCTCTTCTCTCTTTTTGACTTCTGGGAAGAATGAAAAGCAAAGTTCCCGTGGTAAAGTGGTTCTGTTGCTAGAGAGCTGCAGATGTTTGTTGTGAGTGTGGCAGGGAATATAACCTGCTTTCTTACAAAACTGCTTTGCCTGATGATTATTAATAACTATAGTTTCTGCCCTCTTCTCCCTTTGGAGCTTTTGCTTGCTCCCCGCGCCATGGGGTGCATGCTGTTCCCATTTACAAAATTCCTGTTAGGTTTAATCTTGTGAGATGCAGAATACCACTATTTTCTTTCCTTTCCAGGCAAGCTGAAGTGAGTTTTTATAAAAGGTATCTAAATGAACTAAAGCAAAAGAACCAGAAGGGATCAAATGAAACGCTGAAATATCAACTTGTAAAAAACCCCAAAATATAAGAAAATAATTTTTACAACTTTAGTTTAATTAAACTGTGGAACTCATTTTCAGAGGATATTGTGGATTCCAAAAGTTAGATAGATTCAAACATAATTAATTACTCAAACTCATGGAAGAAATGTATGCTACAAAGTAGTAAAAAATATTATCTGTAGCTCTAGAATTTCTTAAGCAGCATATCATTAGAAAATGGAAAATGAGGTTTGCATGTTTGTCCTGTAACTCATGCCTTTCCCCCAGGATCTACCATTGACTAGTTAAAGACGGGTTACTAGAATAGACCTTTGACCTTACAGTGTGGTTGCTCTTATGTTGTGCTCTTATTTGAATAATAAATATGAATTCTTGAATGGATTTTCAAAGTGAAAGTGGGCTAAAGGTAGGATATGGTGAAAGAAATGCAGGGTCAGTGGCAGTCTAGCTTCAGTGGGGTGTTGCACAACAGGGCTGTGGCAGCTGGCATGAGATGAGAGCTTGCTGGGTTTTTATCATGATAGTGAGACTGTATAAATGGAGTACTTGACAGTGGCTGAGAAACCTGAGAAACAGGTTGCTGTTTGTTTTATTCGGCTTGGTTTGAAAGGGTTCCTTCATGTGGCTGGGAAATTTACAAAAAATAGAGCAAAGTGCTAACAAAAAATTATGAAAGTCATCCTCAGACCAGTCCCAATTTTTAGGAAGGATAAGAACAAGCATTAAGTTTAAAGAACTGATGGCTACACTTCCAAGAGAGAAGGAGAAGAATATTGAAGGAGGAAGGGAAGGAGGAGTATATAGTTTTATTTAACCCTCTAATCTTCTTTATATTCCTTATCCTTCCATTTCTTTGCTTCCTGATGAACATTTTGATTTCCTGCAATGCCCCTCAGGGTTGCAGGAGAGAGGACTAGTGACAAATACTGGATGCACTGCAGGTGACAAATGCCCTTCAAAAGGATTACTGGCAAACTCTTTTGAACCTGCACAGAAGAACATCACAAAGTCAGGACCCTGGGTGAAATCACAGGTGTAATTTCAAAGGACTTCACAAACACAATGAACTTATATTGTGCAAAAGATCTACAAAAAACTTGGTTTGTGTGCTGCCCTGATGATGTAACTGGCAAGCAATTATTTATTTAAACAGCAGAGGGATAGTTACTGGAAAGACTGCCCAGAGCATCACAGCAAAACCACTCTGACAATGTAATAACTGCAATATGCATTTACTATAGTCACCTGCTGAAGTCAAGCTGCAGAAACAAGAGTCATAAAATATGGGATTTAAATATTTAACTTCATCAGGGTACTGGGTTCTTATGTGTGTAAATATCCTCAGTTAAGGGTACAGTTAACCCCATCCACTGCTTCCTGCTCATGTCTAGATCCTAGTATGAAATTGGTGGCTCACAATCAGAGGCAGTGCCAGATTTTCTGATGAAGCTGGGACACCCCTGGCAGACGGGAGACCGGAAACACTTGAGTGTCTTATGGCTCCCCATGGACACATATGACTCCGTAGGACAGCCCAGGGACTGTAAGATGGCTGGCAGTGATCATCTGCACATGACAGGATATCCAGGATAATCAGACTTCTAATGCACAGCTGCATGCTGAAGACCTAGTGGGAAACTGCCAAGAGGATGTGAATAATTTCTACTCATTTGTATCAGATGAGCAGTAGGAAGAAATCACAGAAGAGCTGAAACACGAGGTTAAAGTAAAAAATATTGGCTATTTCATACAAGATTTTTAGGTTTTCTGGAATACAGAATGTTAAATAAATTCTACCTGTATAGCAAAAATAAAAATTTGCCCCAAGATTTCAGAGAAAGGCAGAGTCCTGTACAAGACCTTCTGCTGTGATTTAAAATGCATTACTTATCATAAGCTCAGAGCAGTATCTTCAGTACTGAGCTAACTCAGCTGACCCTTCACTTAGCGACTATACAATACCAGGGATAAACATGTTTAGGTTTTGGAACATATGCTGCCAAAGTTACCCAATAACACACGTTTTCAGGATTATAGTTCAAAGAACATTTATAGCAGACACACAGGTATGCTGTTGCCTGTTTGCCTGAGATCACACCGACCAAAATTCAAAGGATCAATTTTTTTGCCTGTCTCAGGACCCAGGAGTCAGACATTTCAGTATAACAGGGTTTTAAAAATACGTTTTTGTAATATGTAGATTTCTAGGAATGATACAAAGGAAAGCATCAGTTGTAAATACCCTGCAGACCAGAAAATTAGTTGCATGTGATATACTCCAGCATGATCCTAACAGTTGATTTCAATGAGGCCTTGTTTTTTATTTACTTAACAAGGGTTATTGTTGCTAGAAAGTTCACAGGCCATGTTTTGGTCCTTTTTGCTTTTGCCCTGTCATTTGGTGTTATTCTGCAATGCTAAACCATATGCATGAGGGTACCCCTACAACACACGTACATGCATATCAGAGCATGGGACAGATGTCTGGAAATTCCGGGCAGACTGGGTGCATGGATTGTTTTCATTTTCATTATATTCCTTATATTATTAATTTTATTTTTTTTCATAGATTAATTTTATTAAGATAATTATTAATGTGCATAGTACTCTGTAGACAATATATTCAGTATACTGTCTACAGGATTCTCTGCTTTTCCAGATGCTGCACGCAAATCTAGGAAATCTTTGTCCCAAGATACAAATTTAAGGTGAGAAACACACTCAGGAGTAGTAATGAGGATACAGAAGAACGACTGTGCCCCATAAATAGTGGGTCTGAAATGACTTTGACTTTTTTATCGCTGAGTAATTAAAGAGGTAAAAAGAATTCTAGCAGTAGAGACAAAGAAGATCTGATTTGGAGGGACCAGGGTAAGGTGCAGCAAAGTACCTAGCACCAAGTTCCTATCCATGATGGGGGTTGGGAGAAGCTATTTGTTTTGGTTGTCGGTTGCACCCAGATATAAACCAGAAAAAAATAATTACATTTTAATACTCTTGTATTAGTTTTGCAGCCATTCATTACACCTAGAGTCTCCCCTTTCCTGCATCTTATAAGGTCATCTAAGATACCAGGTTTAAAACACCACCACTATGACTTAGGGACTTTATACGCCAATTTGCAGAGAAACCAGAGCTGCACGCAATGAAGTTCCAAATGAAGCCACACGAGCAACTGCTAGGATAGTAATTTTTCTTTTCAGACTACAGTTGTTCTTTGAATTTCAGATTAAAATTGTTGTAAAGAAGTAATATAAGTTATCTGTAGTCACATAATTAGCTGTGTTTCTGATGTTCCTCTGGAAATTGAAGGAGAATGGTTCCTCCACAAATGACGGTCATGTAAGATCTTCTTACCTTAGTTCCTGAAGTAGGTACAAGTCCCACAGCTGCCATATATGTACTTCCAATTGTCTTGATCTTTTCTATGTCCTTATAGCATTCTTTGTCCATAAGCTTTGTTTAAAACATAAAACTGTTAAATATTACATAATATTTTAGACAAGCAAGCATAGTTATCAGATAATATGTGCAAGTTGATTAAACCATATTATTTTTTGTAAGTTGAGGCTTGCCCACTTTGAGGTCATTGAAAAACTAATGTTAACTTGTATTTTAATACTCTTCCTATATTAGAGGAATTTGAGGTCCAACTCATGTGCCTAAAAATACAAACTGGGCACTTTGGAAAAGCCCAGTGGACATCACCTACAATTAAATAGGAAGTTTACGGTACTGTTTCATTAGGCAGTTAAAGATATGCTGAGTTGCTACAGATAATCTCTGTTAATAGTAATTTGGTAGAACTGATACAGTCAAAAGACAAAGTATTTAGACCTTACCTCATCAAAATCAGCAATAATTTCATTTAACAGGCGTAAACATTCCACTCCCATATTATTGCCATCCAATTCGATGTAGAAATCGTTGAAATTTGGAATGGAAGCAAACATCACTCCCACTTGTGAATATGACTGGTAATAAAGGTCCTGCAGTTCATGAGCAGATATAATTTTTATTTTAAAAGATTAATCTAAACCAGGCATCATTATTATGATACCTATTCTACTGCTAAGCAATAGTTAGTACAAAAGCCATAATTTTTGGTAGAAAGCCAGCCTTTTTTAAAAAAAAGTTGAAAGATCTCTTAATTCAAAAACACAAAAGAAAATGAACGCCTAAGCTATTAAACCCATTTAAAACAGTAATCTCTTTCTCTGTTTAGACATGGAAGCAGTGAGTAAGATTTTTCTAGAAAGTCTTAACAGCTGTAGAACTTTTATTGTATAAGGAATATAATTGCGTTTTCTCAATTTTGTTTTTTAACTAAAGTAGGAGATGGAACAATTTTACCCTGCAGGACAAAACCAGCCTCACTCCTTTCTTTGAGTTGCAGAGTCCTGTATTCAACATTAAC